GAGCACAAAGGTGTAATCTGCTTTTAATAGCAGGTTTTTGCTACAATCAACTTTTTTTGCTGTATTCTCGTTGTGTATTACACGCAGTTAGATTAAATTTTAAGCTTTTCTGCATTAATGATTTAATGACTCGTAGCCCAATTCAATCAGCCCGCGCATATTCAGCTGTGGCTACAGTATGTAACGCAATAATCGCTAATATACTCGTAAGACTAACATATAGTATTGGCAACAATAGATAGGGTAGTGAGAGGCACAGTGTCATAAAACAAGACAAATGTGTAGTAAAAATTTGTAATTCAGCAATAAAGAAGTCGGATTTTGTAAAATAAAAATATAAACAAAACAATTGAGTCCAATTTTCGATGACTTGTTCGGTAACTGACGAATGACACGCGTGATGTGTTTCTCCAAGGTCTGAATTGAAGCGAATTTGTTCATATAGACTTTAGACTTTACATATTATCACAGGAAAGGTGGCCAATCGACCGGTCTAAAACGGGAAATTTTCAGCCCACCGAAGTGTTCTTTCAATAAATCTATTGATTGATGCGATGTGTGGGCAGTGGCTCTGTATTTTTGAAACCAAAAGTCCCTGAGTTCATGAGCATCAATTTCAGGCATCAAAAGTCGATTCATTTTAGAGGAAATCTGGACCGATGATTCCACCGGCTAACAAACTACACCAAACCGTTGTTTTTTGAAAAAAATATCAGGTCTTGAGTCTCTGCAGATTGCTATTCCTCCTAAATGCGGCAATTTTGCTGTTTACAAACCCATTGAACCAGATATGGGTCTCAGCTGTATACAATTTGGCTCGACAACGTCATATTTTTTTTGGAAGTTTTCAAGTGCCCATTGAGCGAAGCAATGTCGCTTGGGAAGGTCGAGCGGTTTTAGTTCTTGCACAAACTGTATTTTGTACGCTTTCAATTTAAAACCTCGACGTAAAATGCGCCAAGTCATTCCATAGTCGGGCTAAGTTGCTACAAACGGCGCTGAATTGCCTTTCTGCACACTGGACGTGGTCTATTCGGTGGAATATGATTCAATAATGAATGCTGGGTCTCAAGATGGGTGTTGGTATTGGGAATAGTACGCTCAGTAGGCCGACTATATTGACCATAAGTTGAGCGAAACGCACGAAACATATTCTTTACAGAACATGACTTATCGTAATAAAGTTAAGCTATTTGTCTTTCCATTATGAAATGCCATACTGAACAAAAATAACATAATAGCTTTGAACGAATCACACTTGATCTGTCAAAAAAAGGCTATGGAAAATAGTACTTCTACTTGTAACAACCATTATAACCCCAAGGATATAAAGAAAGAGAATGAATCCTATATAAGGTTTGAAATAGATTGTGTCACACACCGCTGTTTATCATAATAAAATTTATTTACTTTATTTTATAAAAACATCCCACCGTGCTACTGCTGTTTGCTGTCAACAAATCGTCTTTTATTGGACAAAGGTGAAATATTTTCGCTGCGTTTGTAGGTAAGTTTTAAGCATGAATAACAAAAGCAATAACAACAAATTTAAGAGAGCGCACTGCGGGAGGTTATTAGCGAGTCGACGAAACGCTCAGTCACCGCCTCACTCCGTCAATGAGCGCGTCGAGGGCAGCGCTATCAGTTACCAACTACAATACTTCAAAAAAAGTGCGCATAATTTGATGGGGTGGAGATTTGTAATCAAATCAAGTATCATCACTGACAACAATATTGATTGAGAAGTGCCAAACAACACAGCGAACATATGTATGTATACATACAAATCCACACAGACAGACAGACAGACAACAAAACATACAAAAGTGTGCCAACAACAATTATCGTGTTTAAATCGCGAAACCCTTATTAAACAAATCTCTAGCTTGTACAGCAACATCACAACATGGGAGGGTGAGGTCGGCAAATTCACCTATAATAAACCATAATGTACATACACACATACACACACACTTGTATGTGAATATTAGCCAGTGTGCGTACCTGAAGGCTTTGTGCCACTGATACGAATGAAACCGCTATGTTATGATACAGCCATCATGATACAACGCGCGTTGAGCGCTGCCAGGGACAAAGGCAATGTGGTATTTGGGAAATAAAAATATAATAATTACACGCTAGCGGAGACCTGTGAACCGCCGTTGTGTATGTGTGTAGCCCACTGCATCACTATCGGTTTGGTGTCATAACAAATAGAGTGTAACCCTTCACGGAGCAGCATGGGCATGGCGCTGCGGTGCAAAATGAGATACATTTGTGTCATTCTACACCGCTCGACTGTGTTGTTGGCACACGTGCGCCGTGTACGATTTTGCAGCCTGCAGCGCAATTGTTGCAGGTAAGATTCATTACAAATTAAGTCCTTTTAATTGTGATATCAACAATGCGCCGAAACCGTACTGACAGTCACACGAACACATATACACATTTGTAAGTAGATACAAACAACCGAATAACGGTTGAAGCGGAGCGAGAGATACGGCGGCTGCTGGCAAACGCGTTTGGCAACTGCAAGTGTATTTCAGATCAAAGTTACTGGTCGGATTAATTAATGCTTCACTGGTAATTGTTTGTTTAACTTTTCGCTGGTTCTAAGACCGGTGCAGCTGGGCTCATTAGTAGGATAGAAAGAGGTTGACCAAGTATATTTTAAAATGATTGAATAATTGCTTGAAAATCATAGATTACACACTCAAGATTCGGCAAATGAATAAGTAGCGGAAAAAATTAAAACCACTCAAAATTTATATAGCTAATCTGTGTTTAAGTCGTTCAACTTTATTGCGAAAGTTGACGCTATGTAAAGAATGTGTTTCGCGCGCTTTGTTCAACTTATGGTCAATAAAATAGCTCTACTGAGCGCACTATTCGCAACACCAGCATCCACCTAAAGACCCAACATTCATTATTGGATAATATTCGGCCGAATGGACCAGCATGTAGTGTGGAAAATATAGCAGCCGTAGCTAAGTGTGTACACGAATACCGTGGAGAGTCGATTCGGCGGAGTTCGCAGCAACTCGGACTGACATGTGGAACGACTTGGCGCTTTTAATATCGGGATTTCAAGTCGAAAGCGTACAAAATACAGCTTATGCAAAAAATTAAGTCATTCGACCTTCACAAACGACATCGCTTCGCTCTGTGTTCTTGACGATTTCTAGAAAAATCCGACGTTTTCGAGCCAAATTTTATTCAGAGATGAGGCCCATTTCTGGCTTAATTTTTATGTAAACAAGCAAAATTTCCGCATCTGGGAGGAAAAGCAACCTGAAAGGATTAAAAAGCTGCCATTTCATAAAAAAAAGCAATATTTTGGTGTGGTTTGTGGGCCAGTGGAATCACCGATCCATATTTCAGAACTGATCTCGGCGACATTTGATTTCAACAAGACAGCGCCACTTCCCACACATCGAATCAATCAATGGAGCAGATAATTTCACGTTTTGAGCCGGTCGATTAGCCATCAAGATCGTGTGATATCACAGCCTTAAATTACTTTCTGTGGAAATATGTAAAGTCCAAAGTAAATACCGCTTCGATTCAGGTCTTGGAACAAAACATCGCGCGTGTCCTTCGCTAGTTACTAGTCGTAATGCTCGAATGAGTCATCGAAAATTGTACGCAACGGATGAATCATCTGAAACGTAGCCGCGGCCAACAAGGTAATCTTCACAAAATAAATGCCGAAGAATGTTCTTTCGAATGATACTAAACATTCCGCATTAAATTGGAAGTTTTTACTTTATTCTTTAAAAAAAATTGGGAACCTCGAAATGGATCACTCTTTATTTCCGTAACACCTCATTTAATTATTGATATACACTGTCTAAAGTAAAACTTAGGGACAGATCTTCTTATATGGCTTGGAAGCTAGAATACAGATTTTATCAAATCTTGACACCAAATCAAATCGCTAGAGTATATGTGTTGAACGTACCAGAACTTCGGTTCAAAGTGAGTCAGATGTGTAGGGGTTGTAGGGAGAGCAAAGAGGTGGATAGTGTCATGCAGGGATTCATTGCACGCTGAATATATGCTTGATGTCAGGGTTTATTCAGGATAAGTAAGAGTTTTACCTTCTACAGTATCTAAAACGAAGTTGCAATCCCCACAATAACAGGTTCTACGTTAATGGAATTTGCCCGGATTTTATACGGCGCAGGGGTGTGTTTTCGCAGATCTAGCCTAGTTTAGATCGGTATATTTTAGTAAAATGGAACCAAGTCTCATGCCAACCGGTTCTACGATACTGGGATTATTTGGACAAATAACTGTTATTCAATAACAATTTAAATAAATACGTGTCTTTTTTGGGACATCGAACAGGAAATACTTTAAGTTAAATAATAAGTACTCTTTTTGTCAATTAAGAAATAATTATCATTTGTTTTAATAAATTCACAAGTTCAAAATGTTTCACGATTTTACAAAAAGACATTACAACATAATACGACTTCTTTAATTAAGGAGTCCTCTCTCGGCGAACAAAGATCAAACACCACAAGTCACTCATCATCCCCATCATACTATATAGTGCAGAGGCATGGACGATGACAAAGCGGATGAGTCGTCGTTACGAGTTTTCAAGAGAATGCGGAGAATAACGGGATCGGTGGAACGGTGAGCTGTACGAGATATACGACGATATTGACATAGTTCAGCGAATTAAGAGACAGCGGCTGCGCTGGCTAGGTCATGTCGTACGTATAAACGAAAACACTCCAGATCTGAGGAGGAAATTGGGGAAAACCAGGTGGATAGAGACCTGGCTATACTTAGAATCTCCAATTGGCGCTAAACAGTGAAAAGGAAGAGCGGCTGGCATGCTGTTGTAAACTCGACTATAACCGCGTAAGCGGGGTCTCCGAAAATAAATTTTTCTGCCACATATAACCTAAAACCCATATTCATATTTCTTCTATAAAATGCAAATACCTGAGTAACCCAACAGTTAAAATTTCAGCTATTGGACTCACCTGTAACGGTGATGTATTGTGGTGTGCCTTCGTCACCGTCCGCTGTCTGTGCCTGCACTAGCGTCACCTGCCCGTTGGCCACATGTTGTGACAAGTCAGCGCTATCTTTAATTGCACTTAAATCTGACATATTGACATGTGTCTCACTGCCAGTGGAATCGGAGGCATCCATCGGCACCACGACGCTGATAAGGGCCACGGCTTCATTCTGTTCATTGCCCACCAGTTTGTTTTGCTGCAACAATTCGAAATGATAACAATTGAAATGACATTTATAGCAGTACAAATAGATAAATGTATATGTGTATAGCAGGTATAAATGTAACGGTATGGTTTAGGGTTGCATACTTGTGTGATGACGTCCTCCATATTGGCTGCGGTCACAACGTCCACCGTCGTATCGATATATTCAAAGTGCTCGGCATTCGACGAGGATGAGCAAGCATTTGCGATTTCGGTGGCGATCTCCTCATGCTTGATGTCACGTGTTGACAATACGTTCACGGTTGCAACATTGACATCGTCCACGGTCGCATTGACACCGGACGTGGCTGCAGTGGCATCGACCGCGTTTGGCGCCACATTCGCAGTTGTTGAGAGTATAAAGTTTCGCTGTGTTGCAAGTCGTGTGGTCATAATAGCTGATGACAACACGCACTCGTGTTCGGTTTCGATGTTTGTTGCTCTTAGTTTTTTGGTTAATTATTTTTTACGCTTTATTACTATATTCGTATCGTACTATATATATGTATGTATATAGTGTGTATAAAGTTGTTGTTATATGTGTATATAAATTATTTTAGGTGCTGTGTTTGTTTGAGCGCTACTTTGTGGTTTTGTGCTAAAATACTCTTGACTAGATCTTAGTTTACATAAATGAAGGCAACTGTTTGTTCAAATTATTTGGTAGTTTCTCTTTGAAGATTACATCTGTAAAGAAATGAAGTAGATGCTTGTGAGTGGGGCATTATAACAGTAAGAATCATATATTAATATTATATAAGAAATGAAAATTTGGGTATATAAAATACAACTTATAGCGACAAAAGCGTTGTGCGCCTAAAAGCGCGCACATAGTTCGACAAGCGAGCATTGTGAATGTATGTGTGTGTGTATGAGTATTAATGCGCTCGTATGTGTGTGTTGGCGGAAGTGCGGGTGTTGCTAATGATGACTTCCAATTGCCGATTCACCTGGGGTGTTGCTATGAAATTAAACTTTTGCAGGTATTTTTTGCTACCGTCGTCTATTCATCTTGGCATTCTGTTGCGCCCACCCATTCGGTGTGTTCCGGCGTGAAGCCCCACGTTCCCATGACGCCTGACACCGTCGCTAGGGACGCTGCAAGAACGTCGCGCGTTGGCTTTTCTGCCAGCGAATCTGTGTAACTCGCACATTTGTCGGTATACGAGAGCACATCAAATGCCGAATTCCACATTTTCAACTTTAATTGAAATACTTTCCGATCGGCGCAGTATGGTACAATGGTGGCATCACACACTTTTGTTGTATTATACAACTTGTGGCGTAATTGCATTTTTATTGTACAAATTTGTATACTTCACACACACACACATACAGTCACAAAGCAGTGGACGTAGTGTGGGCGCATCAAAGTAACAAAAATCATCAATTTATTTAGAAATTTATTTGCGTCGTAATAATATGAGAATTAATATGAGTGATAAGACACTTCCCAAAGTTTGATTTCGCTTAGGAAATCAAAATCATAACAACAGAGTGTCTTAAATTGTTTCTTTTGCTAAATTTTAGCTGAGAAATCTAAACGGCTTTGAGAATTTTTCTATGGAAATTGGGAAACAAAAATCACTCCTTAAAATTAGTATAGAAAAATCTTCAATTCGGACATTTTGAAAACCAAAGGAAACTTCAAAGTTGTTTCTTTATTTTTCATGGTTTATTCTCGGCACTTAAATATCCACAAAAGTCTAATTTTAAGTGTACATACATATATATCTATATACTATACACTGCACTTCATCAGCTTAACACACTTCAGGTTTAAATACATAATTTTGGGTAATTACTATTAAAACAAAAGGAGCTACAATTCTAAAATTATTAGTGATTATTAACGAATGATTTTTCTATTAAAAACAATAATAATTAATATTTTCCTTTTTTTGTATATTTTTTATTACTTT